TTTTTTTTTTCTTCTTTCCTTTGTTTTTCCTTTTTGCTGGGTTCTTCCTTTTCCTTTCCTTTCTGCTACTATAAACCCTAATACCTGAAGCCACTTTCGATTTTCGTCACCAAATCAATTCATCTTCTTCTCCTTGATTTTCCTCAACTCTTTCTCTTCTAGATCTGATTGTTCATTGCCCATTGCTTGTGCACCTAACAGATCCAAGACCACCACAAATCAAATCTCAAAATCTACCCCAATTCACTGAAATATGGCTCTTTTATGTAAGGGCAGCAAAAACGATTGTTAAAAGCTTCTTTAAGCGAATTAAGAAAGTATTAAATTAATACCGAAAAAATAAAAAGATAAAAAAATAAAACTTTTTAAAGCTTTATTTGTTTCTCAAGAAAACATAGGGAAAATGGGTGCAAAAAGGGGACATGAGCAAAACCTAGAGGGAGAAGACGATGAAAGATTCAACTGTAAAGAATGGTGAATCTGAGGAAAACTCAAGTTAGACTCAAACCCAGATCTTCTTTATCAACCATCATGTTTTCTCTCTCACCAACAAGATCCAGGAAACAAAGTATGTTTCAAGACTTTAGATTTAAGAGAAAAGAGGAGAAAATTTGTTGGGTTCTTTTCGAACCCAACGGCTATAGGGTTTGAAGGAACCCAGCAATGCCTATTAGGTTCCAAGTTCTTGGCTCTACTTCCTTGCTCTGCCTTGGGGATCTCAAATAGTGGGTTTGCAAAAGGCAAAGGAAAGGAAGAGGAAAGAGAACCCAGATCTGGTTTTAGGGAAAGGAGAGAGAAAATGTAAGGATTTAGATTTTAGAGGTTGAAGAAAAGAGTAATATAGTCATTTTATTATGTTTAGAGATTATTTAGATAATTTTTTTGCCAGGTCATGTATTTTGTCGCATTGTAAATTCCATGTATTTTATTTATTAAAAAGATGTACCCCTATTGTTAGTTAACATGCCACGTTAACAAAAAGTTAATGAAAGGACCAAGTTGGAAACAAAGCAATAAACAGTAGAGATCAAATCAAGGATTTTTTGAGTTAAGGGACTAAATTGGAGATTTGTATAATAGTTGAGGGATCAAAATAGACATTTAACCTTTAAAATTCGGATAATATGCACTAATTTCAATCAAAAAATTAAGTTAATTTTTCTTTTATAAATTTATAGTGATTTTTATAATTTTAAGACTTTTTACTCTTTTCTCAGTAAATTATTTATTTACTTAATAATTTTAATTTTTTAATAATTAAAATTAATAAAATAATAATTCAAAAATTCAAAAAATTACTAAAAAAATATAAAATTTTTTTTATTAAAACACAATTGATAAAATTCGTCTTTTTTAATTTAATTAATAATTATTAAAATTTAAAATTTTAATTAACCAATAATTTAATTTTGATTATAATTAAAAAAATCAAACTGCGCTCACTCTCCCTCTACGTTGACCAAAGGTAGTGGGTTCTTGGGCCGGATGGCTTCCCTATTATTAGGCTACGCTAGGTTGAGCTGGGCATACAGATATTTTTAGATTTTGGACCTATTTAAATCCCGACTTGGGTCCTGCAACTCCTAAAATGGTACGCTCCCTCTTACCTCAATCAATAACTAGAATTTTAGCTTCCAATTTTTATTAAATCAAAAAAATGAAGACTTAGTCATTGATATTGTTTATCATCACATCTGGGATTTTTAGTAATAGAAATATTTTTTACAAAGTTGGAAGCTTTGCATTGCCTGGTTCTGTTGTTGATATGGTTATGGTCTTTCCCGGTTCAAAAGCACGGAAAGTAATTTACTACGATTATTATGTACTTATTGATGTTCATATTTATATTATCGAAAAAGTGTTTTATAATAATCTGGACTGTAAGATACTAGCCGTTGAATATTGGGGAAGGGCCCTCCATCCAACTGCGTGTGTTTTGCATTCTGGATTGCAAAACACTGGATTCCTAGCTAATATGTGTACTAATGGTAATATTTTCAGTAAGTGGAATCAGTAGTGTTGTAAATAGAACAACTATTGATGTTCTTGTTCACATATTTTATACAGACAAAGAGAACCAAGAAGGCTGGTATTGTTGGGAAGTATGGTAAGTGCAGAGTCTAGTCATGATGTATTTGGTTTTTGGGTGATGTTTATCGTTATCATTAACTGCTTGTTTAGGTACCCGCTATGGTGCCAGTCTGCGGAAGCAGATTAAGAAGATGGAGGTCAGTCAGCATAGCAAGTACTTCTGTGAGTTCTGTGGAAAGGTAGTTTGCTAACACTCTCTTTTTGTTTTTTGACACTTTTTTTTTTTGGGCCGTTTGTTCACTTAAACATGCTCTTTTCAGTATGCAGTGAAGAGGAAGGCTGTTGGAATCTGGGGTTGTAAAGACTGTGGCAAAGTGAAAGCAGGAGGTGCATACACTTTGAAGTAAGTTTTATGACTATTTCATTTATAACTATAAATCTTTATTTCTTGATGGAACTAACTGCTATCTTTTTTCCCTCTTACAGCACTGCAAGTGCTGTGACCGTTAGGAGCACCATCCGAAGGCTGAGGGAGCAAACTGAGGGTTAATATTATAGATTGTTGTTTTTAATATATTGAAGTTACTGTAATGGCCTGACTAGATGCCTCAAATGAGTTTGCCATTTTGGATATTTGATTTGAAGTTTAATCTATTGAAGCAGTTTTGGCATTTGAGTTGGTTTGTGTGATTGTGTTTTTAAGTATTCATAGCTTACTTCTAGTCCTCATTTAACCAAATATATTTAATAATTTTAAAGAAAAACATATACTAGCGGTATAAGTTGGCTTGTGATTGTGTTTTTATTGGAAAATACATCAACATGTATAGGAGATTAAAACTAGGCGTATACTTCAATGAGAAATGCCTTTTCTAGAGGCATGTTTATACTTCATTTCAAAGATAAGTTCAAATTCGAGTTACAACAGAAGCTGGCCAAGGGCCAAGGGTTTCCCCTTCACCTTCACCTACACGCCAGCACTCTTACATCTAGCTCATCTATACAAAACTGCACCAAGAAGGGAATGCAAAAATTATTTCTGACAGAGGATGTCATCATTTGCCATCCTAAAACTCTAATTCACCCCTCCCCACCCCTAACTACTGGCAACTCCCTCTCTGCATGTAAGCTGTTGAAGTTAAAAGGACTCAGTCCTCTCCAGCCATCTTTCTCCATGCCAGACATCAATATGAAGGCACACCAAATATAGTCTCTTAAAAGAAGATTTGAAACCAAGGAGATGTCAGTATGAAATGCAAAGCTATTTGAAAAAAACACAAAGGCCCCATATCCTCTTGCTGTTGGTTTATGTATCTTCAGCCAAGAATGAGCTATTGTCAGAAGTATCAGACAATGGAAATATGAATGTTATCATTGGTATTATTGTCATGTATTTGCTTTTGGACTGCTTTAACTGCTGCTACTCTAGCTGCATTGGCTGCCTTATTAGCAGCAGCTACTGCTCTGCTAACCCTCTCATCTACCTTGGCCACGTCATATGCTCTCTCAGCTGCCCGTCGAGCCTCCTGCTCACAAAACAACCAATCAGAAGTTATCAGATTTCATGTGGCTACAACAATAAGGAAGGCAAACTGAATCCGGTTGTTAGATAAACTCTACATTATAACTTGATATATTATAACAATGTATTAACTTTTCTTCTATCTCTCTTCTATTCATATGCTCAGGTGGTTGCTCGATGCTCCCTGGTTCCTATTCTCTCCCTTATTATCCTTTTAGGTCATACAAACATACATGATCATGGGGAAATATCTAAAACCAAATTCCACATTAATGAAACAATTCCCTAGTTCTCACGCTAGATTTTGCAGCCAAGAAGACTGAAACAAAAAGACATCCACATGATGATCAAAAAGGAAACTAGAACTTGAGATGTGACATCAAATGCCTTGAAACATTCAGAAAGGGTATAGAAGAGGTTAATGTCAGCCAAAGGTACCTGCACGGCATTAAGGACCTTAGAGTGATAAACAGCTACAGGAGATATAGGAAATGTAGTGTTCTGTGTGCTTGGGACATCAAGTATTCCATTTTGCCAGTGACCAGATTGTGTCTCCCCATTTCTAAATGTATACATTCCAAGCCCTTGCCTCCGACCCTCATGCCAAGCACCCTCATACCTATGCCCATTTGCAAAACAATATACACCAAACCCATGCATCTTGTCTGCAAAATATTCTCCAGCATATGTATCTCCATTCCTAAAAAATATAAGCAAGAGGTTAGTATCCAGAATTTTAAAAATTTGATGAACTAGAGACCTGATTGTCCAATTCCAATACACATAATTGAGACGAATCTTATGGTTTTCATAATTTCATGGAAAATGTATAAACTGCTCAATCTGTTCATTATGACAATAGGATCTTAAGGTAAAAAAGGACAAGGTAGCAGAAGTACTTCATGACTCATGATGCTGGATAAATCATTCATAACTATGAATCAGTTTAATAATATTTAGATATGAAAGGCACCATAGAAATAAAAATTTACTACCCATGTGAAAACTTGGAAACTTTAGCATCTTCCTACAATCAGAAAACCACCCAATGAAGTATTTCTCCAATAAATATGCATCTTTTTGGTCAATTCAAAAATACCCAATGGATTGGCAATCATTTATTATCATACAAACATAAGGCGCAGGGAACCTCAACAGGACATGCTAAATTGGTACTGGTATCCACAGGTGAGAAAACCTAAGTTCTTTATCCTCCACCACGTTTATGAGATTCTAAAACTTTTTGATAATATGCGCACCCAAAACACCAAAATACCCACTATCTACAATAACAAAAAAGAAAGAGTGAGACAAAAAAGGAAAAAAAAAAAGGGGAATCACGCCTAAGAACTAACCAACAGTTCAAGCACCAACCAAGAAGATCTAATCGCAACACTAAGAACCAAACAGAACGAGAAATCATGAGGAGAAAATGTATAAATTACCTAAAATGGTAATGGCCAAGTCCATGCTTGACGCCCCACTTGAATTCCCCAACATATCTGCTGCCATCTTCACATGTATGCACTCCACACCCATGACTCTGACCATTAGACCACTCTCCGGCATAAACATCTCCTGTATAAAACCTGTACACTCCAAATCCATGCCTGAGACCCTGCCTATACTGGCCACGATACCTGCTTCCTCTTGCCCACGTCTCCACCCCATATCCATCATATTTCCCGTCAACCCAATCCCCCTCGTATCGCCCACTCATGTAATAGTAATACACACCGCTCCCTGAACACTTCCCCTTATGAAATTCCCCCTCGTATGCATCGCCGTTTTTATAAACCTGCACCCAACATCCCGAATTCGTCCTCTTCTCGGATTTGGGCCTAGACCCTATAGACCAAAACACCGGCAAAGGTGCCCTAGTTATTGAAGAAGAGGAGGTAAGCTTAATTGGAAAAGAACGTGCCAGGAACAAGCGTATAGATGGGAGGCGAGGGAGGGCGAGGTTGAGGGAGAAGAGAAGAGCAGCAGAGAATGCAAAAGCAGAGAGAAAATCAAGCAGGAAAGAGTGGGTTGGATGGGAGACTAAGAAATAGAAAAAGGGGAGAGATAAAAGCAGGATCAAACGGATATGGGCACGGAGACGGCGAAGATGTTTGAAACGGCGGGCAATTCTATAAGCAGCAGACTTGAAAGCAATGGAGATGGAGAAGAGGGAACGGGTATTTTGGGAATTGAAAAGAGGGGTCGTCGAGAAATGGTACAGAGTCGGCGATTTGGGGATAGAGCGAGACTGGGGATGCGTCAAAAGAGGCCTTTTGTAGGGAGCCGACGAGGAGGCGGAGGAAGACGCCGGCGGAGCAATTGGGTCACTCTGGGGAGGTGTCTGGGTGATGATTTGAGGAAAAAACGCAATATTACTCGGCCTGACTATGGTGGTATCAAATTGTGGTTGAAAATGCTGCTGCTTCTGGTAAACAGAGGAAAAGATCGGATTGAAATCGGAAGAGACGCCGCTGCTGTCCTTTCCGATCTGAACTTCCGATTTCTTCTGATGCATTACATACGTAAACAATTCCACCCCCACAAACAAACACCCTTTTCTTCTCCGATTACAAATTTTCTTCCTTTCCCTTTGAATTGAATGAAATTCTCTTCCTTTTTTCCGAGTGATATGTGGAATTTTCCGAGAAAGAAAATAGGGCAAACGCGTTCCGATAAATACCCCCACATCAGCCTAAAACCACATGAAGGCCACCCTATTTTTAGATTTTTTTTCTTTTTCTTTGGACCTTATCTATCTTAACCGCCTTTGAATTTTTAAATTCTTTATTACTTTTTTAGTATTTACTTGTTTTCCTTGCCCTTTTTGCTAAAGTCAAAGTATTTATTTTGTAAATTTCCTACAGACATAACGCCAAAATACTGAGTTTAAAACTTAAATTTTTGAAGCAATTAATCTTTTCAAATATTTTGTGTGCATTTATTTGGAAAATATGGTCAATAAATTTTTATTTGTATATATAAAGATATATTGAGCATGCAGATAACATATTTTAATTATTTAATACAGTATTTATTACATAAGTTACCATATGAAATTTTGGGGTAAAAAAACAGTTGGTCATTTGAATATAAACAATATGAATTGTAAAATGTGGTCAATTTTTGTTTTTATTGAAAATTTGAGACAAAATTGGTAGACTTAAAGAATTGTATGAGGGGAATACAAGAGGGTTAAGGATGAAGTTGCTTAATGTTGAAGGTAGAGGGCAACATTGAAACAGATCGAACAA